TTTGTGTCTTCTTTCGCTCATTGATTGGTTTCTTTTTTCTTTCTTGTTTAGAGTGCAAAGCCTTCCCAATTAATCTCTGAGGGACCTGTGACAAGCCCAAACCAAAAAACTACATATATTACCATCGGGAGCTTCTAATAAACAAATAAACAACCACGACGGAGACAACATGAAGTAAATTTGCGTCGTTTTTCTAGCTAATTAAAATGCAGATCGACTTAAAACAATAACAAAACAAAACAAAGCAAAATTAACAACATCCAAAATGGGAAAGACAGCGAAAAATTTGTAGTCGTTTGTTGACGTCTTTTACAGACCGTCGTCTTTAGTTAGTATCTCAAAAAGGATTACAAATGTTCCAAAAAATGTGACGCATTAGTGGAGAGTCGCAAATGTCCGATCCTGGTCTATCGAGGCGTTGGTGTTTAGAAGTTAACTCCGTATTATTTAAAAACTTAATCTAATGTTTTTTCGCTTATACAAGGTGTAATAATTATTTATCTTGGTTGGCGAAAGCGAAAACAAAAGAAACCTTGACAAAAACAGTCAAAAAGCAAATTAATTGTATTCAGATGAGAGTTCTGTTACCATGCACTTTTCTGAGACTAGAGTTTTACAAGTTCAATATTAATTCCACAGAGTTGCGATGTTCGCAGTAGCGTGCAAGGTTTGGCCGATCAAGCACCGAATTCCTCTTCTACTTTAAAATACTTCTAGAAAACAGTACCCATGCAATAATTTAAATTCCATAGGAAATTTGCGCATCAAGTTTTAATTCTGTTACCGATACTGTCAAATGACATAGTTACTCGGCCCACGGCCGGCTAATGAAAGCTAGAACGTTAATGTCATCACTCGCCCGCGGCAGGTCGCTAAATTGATGTAAGCTGTAGGGTAAGTTAACCAACGACATGCATATTGCCAAAAGAATTAAAATGAACTTTCAAAACTATATTGTCACTCTTTTCTGGGATTGGCACATTATTATTATTAGGCTTATATAAACACAGTCGTTCATCTGAATATAATTTTTCAAAGAAATGTTTTTTTTTTTTTTGTTTCAAAATTGTCGAGTGTCTACGCAGAAGACTTCGCGCACAAAGGGTCGAAAAGACTCGATAAAGAATGAAAGTAGAATTAAAAACTAAGGTAGTGTTCCAAGCCCTCCGCTCAGTCGTTCTAAGCTCTATGTCACGACTAGCTTCCTCCTTTACGAAGGTCGTTCGTGGGAAAAGATGATTTAACAAAGCCAGCCGAAGTAGTCTGAGAAGGAGGCTATTAGTAATTCTCCTTATATATGAAAAATGAACTGCAGAATTAAAAAATAAATCCGACTGCAAACGCAGTTAGGTGCACAGTAAATGTATTAAGATGGAATCCATTAAATGAAATCTTATGCATGACGACTTTACCTGTGTTTTCTCAATTCCTGTGAAATTTGAAATCTATTCTCGCTTGCTCCCATGAGAATCTTTTCTTTGGAGTTATTTCATAAAGCTTAGTACATTTATTGCCCTTGAAAAGTGTCAAAAAGAATGCGATACTAGTGCTTAACTGGTAAAATGTTAACGTTTTTGTCCACTAAAAATTAAAATTACGCAGTTTCCTAATGAATTTCGTCCTAATCTTTGCCATATGCCAACATAACTCGCTTATTTCTTCTCTTCTTGCACTTTTAAAACAGTTCCGTTTTATTTGTACTTTTTTCGATGTTTTTTTTGTTAATTTTTCTTCATTTATAGCTTTTACGATCACGAAACTGGAATACTTTCGTAGACTATCTAGGGATGCAAGTAGAAAGGAAACCTCCCACTTTACAAAACTAACAGCTTTTTTCTAGAAAAAAGCTGTCAGTACCGGGCATAAACCATGAAGTAAATACACTGGAGAAAACTCCAACAAAATACCCCTACGATCGGCTTAGAAAAAGACCGTTGGAAAATCGAACCATTAAAAATAGCAACGATAACATCGTATTTTAGTAGCAAAACGAATTCTCACCAGTTTCTAGAAGTTTTGGCGGCGGTAGTGAGTATCTTGAACCTTTTTCCCCAAAGTGGTTGATGCGTTCACGAAGAGTAAGGGGTGTCCTTGATAACTGAATTTGTCTTAAACAGTGTTGCAATGGTGACAATTTGATATTAATTAATATTTAATAACAAACACAATGCAAAATGTTGCCATTAGTAAAATGCATTAGTTGTAGAGTATCAGATTCATATAACGGAGTAAATTGATCATCAAAAATTGGCTTTCTGAACAAAATTTTTAAAATAAACACTTTGGCCACCGGTCATTTCGCTTTCTATCGGCTGCGGTCAGGGGGGCCCCCGCTCAGTGATATTTTCCTTTTTAATAAAACAACTTTTTTTTTTTTACATCAACAAAAAATTGTGCCGAAAATGGAAGATAGAACAGAACAAAAATTTCAAAGGAGTGCTTAACGCTGTATCAACATTTTCTACTCTTTATCCCAAATTTTAGGATATTCAGTACCCCTAATAAAATCAGAATCAATAGTCTTTTTTTTGTTCAGTTCTAGAAAAAAAAAATCATATTTTAAAGAAAAAGCAAATTCAGTGCTGCAGTTGGTAACTAATAGTAGGTCAATGGAGATGCATTAAGTGTAATTTGTTTTTTTTATACTCAAAATTATATTTCGAGGATGGGCTCAATTTTTAAGGAGCGTGAATGAAAAATAGCAGGTGAACTAAGTATTAGTCATGAGATTCGATGTCAGGTTTGAAAATAATAGGACCTCAAGTTACACAAACACTTTTTAGTATTACTGTAGAATGTTAATTTCTCTTCCGAAAGGACTGTCGATTGCAAATTACATTTTCTCTCTTGTATTGATATATTTAATGCATTTAGAATTTCTGAAAATATTTACTGAAGCATACGGATAGCATCAAGCATCAGAGTCTAAATCGTGAACTTTTACAAGACGTTTCCCTTTAATGGTAATTAAGTTGCTAAGCACTACGCACATGAACCTTTCATTTGGTTATCGTTACTTATGTAACTCTTTCTAATCTTTCTAGATTTTAAACAAAAATGCTGATTGGGTTTCCTAGTCTTTTATTTTTTTAGCATGCGTAATTGACTCTAAAACTCATACTGAAGCCTTTTGTTATACTAAATTATTGTAAACAGCTTTCTCGAATGATCTGTTTTGTTAGAGAACTAACTTACTTCAGGGCAAAGCGCAGTGTTTAACTAAACTACACCTTTTCCTCAAAGTTGTTAAATTCGTCTTTATTCTTTTTATGTGCCAGTTCTTTTACCATCTATGAAAATGCCATTAAAAAATAGTGTTCAGTTAAGATAGCAGTGACGCAAATCATGCTGTTATTTCGTTCCGATGCCAAATGGGAAAGGTAGTATATATTTAGAGTTAATTGTGCCGGCTAGTGGGAGTTCAAGCCTAATTTGACCTAAAATATGCATGGCATGATGCCCATTATGAAGCCAAAACGTTTTAAAAGTTGCTTATGTAAAATTCGTATTGACTGCAAAATGTTTGTAAAGAGTTCTGTACCACACATTGAGAAAAAGAAACTTCCCAATGTAAATCGAAAGTCTAATTATCACGTTTATATCCACAAATCGACCAAATTTTCCGCGTCTGTAACCAAACTTATAATTACGCTATTAAATTTGTTCGTAAAGAGGCCCGGGCTCTGCAGTTGCCATAGTAACCGTTGCATGTTTGGTTCCGGAAGTGCCCGTAAATCGGATAGTTACCAACTGTACCTTATTATTCTATCAATGTTAAAATGGTAAATGAACACGAAAGATAACTTCTGCCGTGTGCCTTGGTTTGGGTCTGGTGATTAGTGACCGGGAATAATAAAAAAAAAATCCAAAGCTTTGACATGAAATATATTGTATAAATAAATAAAGTTTAAAGGTCTGATTAATATGGTTTGACGCCGTAACAAGTATGTGGTTACTTTTTTTTTAAGACGCTTAGTCTGAGCTCTTGCACTACCTAGTATAAATACTCAATCAATGGTACGAGGAGGTGCGAAGAGAACAAGTAGGAAAAAAAGCTAGATTCATTTTATGAATGATATCTATTCGTAGTTTTCACATGACGTCAGTCACCAACACTCAAAAGTAAAGAATTATCAATTCTCCTTAAGTGTCAAAGCAGCTCAAAATTCATGTTTTTACCAGTTTTTACTCCGGAAGGGTTCTTTGTTTTGTGATAGAGTACGCTTGAGTTTCTAACCTTTTGTGTGACACGGCATTTATAATTACGTGGCAGCCGAGAGATTTGCCATGTAGGTTAAAGACTTGACTTAGTTCGGGGGCTGTGGCTAGGCGTTCGTAGCATAACATATTACCAGCAGTGCTCGTATTTTTCTAAAATTATGCCAGTTTTTGTAAATTACACTTACTTAGCAAAAATATATACAGAAATTACGCCTGTACTTTTTACTTTATATTTGGTAACAACTCCTCAATTACTGTGCAATTAACACGTAAAAGGCAAACAAATTTTCCCTATCCATAGACTAGAAACTTTGCTAGTTCATAATTGATCATAAATTACCTGGCTATCAATGTCTTGCAAAGTATTTGCAGTGAACGACAGCTTGGATAGCCGAGATGCGCATACGTTTAGTCCTGTGGAAAGAATTCTGGGTCACTTCCTGTGGGAAGCAGGTCCAATGAATGTGACAATAAGGAGACAAAAACAATAATCTTGTCTTTGTTCTCGAGCCACAAAATTGGTTGCATGATCAATAAATAAAAATTTCGTGCTGTAAAACTTAAGCTAAAAGTGCAAATTATGCTAGCAGTGCTTTTTCAGAAAATAGGTACTAGTTGAAAATTACGCTCGTAATGACGAACTATGCCAAAACTTATGCTAGCACAATCCATTAAAGCCTGGAAGTTGCGATCTATGATATGGCAGTTGTGTTATCAATCATAGCTTTCACATGACAATTTTGAACATCTGAGCAGAATGCCTTCAAGGTGAGGAAACATGCCAGGATCTCAAGGTAATTGATGTGGTTTTTGGATTCATCCTCAGACCACTGCTCCCCATGAGTTGATGTGGAGTTAACAACCCCTCCCCAACCGGTAAGGGATGCGTCTGAATAAATTGTGACTTGGGGGTTACCATGGGTAACAGTGTTTGATGTAAAGGGGCCCATACACTGTACCGTAAGAAAACTTGCAACCTTAAGGTCAATCACTTCAGAGACAGTCCGTATAGTGAGGGACTGGTTGTCAAGCAGGTCAATTACTTTTGATTTTAATTTCAAGCTTTGGAAGGTGTTAGCGATATTGTCATTTGAACAGAATTTAATACAAAGCCCAGCGAATGCTGGCTCCTGATTGGGCACAAAAAATGCTTTGTATTATTGTGCCCATTCGGCGAACAGCATCTCCTGAGTTCTTTTCGTAAGTTCGTACACGACGGCTATTGACTGGATCATGCACACAGTCAGGAATCTTTCAGTTTGATATAAAAGCTACATTTCAAAATACTGGTAGTCTTTGCACTAGAGCCTAAATAAGCTAAGAAATATTTCAAGACAAGTAAATTCTAAATTCTTGAAGTAAAGGAAAGTTTCACACACAACCTATCTTTTTTACTTCAGGTTTTTCCACGCAACGTAATTAAGATTGATTGACATGCTTTGCCTTTCACAAAGCTTGGAAACCGCAAGTTCGCTGAGTCGGTTTTAATAAAATGCAAAGTAAAGTTACTTGAGATTTTTGCTTAGGTCATCACACACGCATTTTTGGTTAAGTAAAACTTAGCAGCTCTTAAGTCTTACTTAACAGCCCAGCGTAAAGACAACCACTGTCTACACGAAAACTAAAGACGCTTTTCCAAAAATACAACTTGAGCTTACAACAGGTATTCACGCTTGCATCGATCATGCCTTCGCAAATATTAGGGAGATTAATATGCGACGACAGCTTTCAACCACGAAAACGTCGCATGAAGAGTGAACTCACATTTTTTCAGTCTCTATCGTGATTATTCCAACTCACTTACTTTGTCAAATGCGAGCCAACTCTTCTGGAGCTATATTTCTATCAACCATATCCAAGTTCAGAAAGAGAAAGAAAATTTTGTCATTGTTTAATTTGTTTACGTTCTTCACAAAATGTGAAATTAGGAATTTTCACGTGGTAGTCGAACAGTGATGGCAAAGAAATGTACAAAAAAGCGTGATAAACGTGCAAAGTTGTTGTTTTGCCTTGTCAAGCTATTCCTTTTTTTACTTTCTCGTCGCCGCTCATCTTAGGGCCTGTTTACATGGAGGTGGAGGACCCAAGGTAGGTGAGGTAACCCGCTTAGGTGGGGTAAAACAATAACCCTCCTTTACATGCAATCTTTCAACCCGCCATCCCGGGGTGCACTTTCTCAAGATTATTGAATGGTCGCTAAGCACGTAAACAAGAAATATGCTGGCAAACCACGTGTTTTGGCGATTAATTCTCTTCAACACTCACTTGCTGCTCTTGCTACAACCTTCAGTGCTGTGGCTTTCTATTGTTTCCTATAATAATGATGCAAAACCACCGCCAAAATGAATTTTGGGCGAATTTGATGTATCACGAATCGGACCCCGGCTGGGCGGGTTACCCCACCTTGAACGTTTACATGGCAAAATTTGACCCGGCTGAGAGGGTTACCCGGTCTGGTAGACCGGGCAACCCGCCTTGGCGGGTCACCCCACCTATAATGTAAACGTGATCACATTAAAATGAGAAATCATATGGACAGGCGGGTTACGCCACCTAAGAGGGTTACCTCACCTACCTGGAGTCCCCCACCTCCATGTAAACAGGCCCTTAAACTTCCTATTATTTACGATACATTGTGATCTGTCAGAAACAGAATTTTCTCAGTGTAAATTGAATTGCTCCTGGTGATAGCATCCGAAACGTTTTTCGACTCATTGGTAGTTCCTTCGTTTCTGGTTAGAAAAGCTTGGTGAACGAACCGGGCAACTGTGGCGAGATAATAGCCGCCGTGTACAAACTCACGAAAAGAACTCAGGAGAAACTGTTCGCCGATCGGGCATAATAACACAAAGCATTTTTTGTGCCCAATCAGGAACCAGCAATCTCTTGACCGTTTGGAAATGGTCCGGTGAGAGTCGGTAACCAGGGGCTCTTCCGCCCATACTTAAAAACGTTCGTCGCGCCTTTTAACCCGGCCCGACTGACTGCCCCTGGGTCTCCGAGCATGCTCCATACAAGGCTCTATAAAGGTAAAATATTACTCTTAATTATAATATTTCGCATATGAAAAATTGCACCGACCTGAAACTTAGCGAGTATCTTCGTATATTCATCTTCTTACATTTCCCATATTCTGGACTTTATCTATTAACCTGCGCGACAGGCATTTGAAAGGAAAGGGGAAGGGGATTCCGCGCGCTCGAGAAGCGCGAAAAACGCGCGAGGGGGTAGTGTAGGGCACGCCGGCAAGGACGCTAATATCTTTTTATTTTTTTAAATCTTCCATTAAGAGAAATAAATCCTGATTGAGTAGAATTCCAAACAAGTCAATAACAGCCTTAATGCTTTTAAAATTCCATTTGCCGACGTTTACCCGAAATTTTCTGTTTGTATGTCGCACATTTTTTTCTTGACTATGTATTTGGTTCGCTCGTTTCTTGACCTGCCGTATTAGAACCGAGAAGCATTTTGGAGTTGTTTGTTCCACTTAATAGATTTTTATTTGTGTGATCGACCTGAGGGAATGTTTGGTTGTGAATTGAACCTGAGAACGATTTGGTTTTTGAGGATTTTTGTCATGTGCTCGACCTGAGGAAGTGTTTGCTCGTGTGTTGACGGCTGCAGAAAGAGGATTTTAGTCGCGTGTTCGACCTTAGAAAGAGTCCGGTGGGGTGTTCGACCTTGGGAAGTGTTTAATCATATGTTCGACCTTTGAAAGAATTTGGCCGTGTGATTAGACTTAAGTGTTCTACAGCGTGTTCGAGGGTTAACGTTTGAAGGGTTTAGTCTTGTGGTCGTCTTTCAGGACTCGGTAGCGTGTTCTGGTAAAAAAAAAAAAAAAGAAAAAAATGGTGCCTTTTCCCCCTTCCCGCCCCTGCCGTGATCTGAAGGGAAATCTAAAGTTATTCGTATAACCCGTCTCAGGATGGGTTCCTAGTCCGCTCGGGATATTGGGTGTTACCTAAGTTTTTTTTTTCTTTCTGTAGTTGTTTTGTGTGGGTGTAAAAAATAATAAGCAACTTCTCAATCCCATAAACCGCGGTTTTTCAACTTACAATGATATATATTTTATATTATTTAAGTTGTTCATCATAGGTCGCATACTTATCCAATGGGCAGGGTTACAGGAGCCTTTGATTAACTTCTGTTCAAGATGGGCAAATAGCTGAAGTCATTGTTGTCGTACAAGTACGCATTGAATGAAACGACAAAATAAAACAAATCAAAACAAAGAAAAAAATAAAAAAAGACGAAAACATTAAGCCAGGCTTTAGACCAGAAGTAGTCCTCATTTATCCTCAGGGATAGTAGAGAGCGAGAAACGTCAGCGCGCGTGAAAATCACCCCACCGCGTACTGATTTTCACGCGCGCTGACGCGGTGGGGTGATTTTCGCGCGCGGTCGCGTTTCGCTCGCTCTACTATCCCTGAGAAAAAATGGGGACTACTCGTAGTCTAACCAGGCTTTAATTAAAGGCCGAACTATTTCACAGTACATATTGAAATAGTAAAGGGAACAGGAAAAGTGGCATTGGGAAAAAAAGTCACTCCCCCTTTCATTTTCTTATCGTATCGCATGGTTATAGATGTTCAAGACATCTGGTTTCCTCGGGTTCGGTCAAAAATATCTGAAAAAACTCTTTTCTTTTCTAGAATGTTGTCAAGCACTCCTGAAGCTATGGATTGAGTCTCATTTGTGAATTTAAAAATGTTTTGCCCATCTATTCACTTCTTGGATTGCGATTTTTATCTTGGAGGGGCGGGGGGAGGGGGAGGGGGGCTCAATAAATAATAAATATCGGGTACTGAACAACAATTTGAACGCAAAAAAGACGCAATACTCAGTTGCCTCAAACTACATTTTATTATGTCACACTGATCATTGCAATGCCCTGGGAAATTTAAGTCGTCGATAGTTATTTCTCTTTTATCTCTCTTATTTCCATTAACCTTTGGTTTAAAGATATCCTTATGAGTTCAGTCGCTCTATTTAAGGGAGTCTGGATTCCGGAATACGGGAAATTTCGGAATGCAGAATCTCGAATCCACCGCGTGTAACCCAAAATCTAAGACTGTCTTACATATCCTTACATTGGGGCGAGTTCAGCCATCTTGCTGATCGTGTCGGCTGTCCCGTTCTAGTTCTTGAACGCAAATCATGCAAGCTATGTCGAAGTTGCGACGTAGAAATCTCTCCGGTCCGTGATTACACTATTTTCAAAGGGTATATAATTTTCAGAGTAATAATTAAAGGTTTCTTAATACATGAACAAGTAAAAACTAACGCGGATAAAATCAAACTACATGCACACATCGTAAATTTAAGCTAACTGAAGATAGAGCCAAAGTATGGGTACCTGTGGACGTCGATTTCGGCGCTTGTCTTCGATGACATCGTCAGTTTTTAAAACGAAATCGTCGCATGTCAAGAATTGTTTTGAGTGGCATTAAGTGCTACTAGCGAGCTTAGCGCATCTAAAACGAGGACGGAAACGAGAAAATAATAATGATAAAAGCAACAGGTTAATAGGCACATCAAAAACACTGAACATGCAGCACACTATCTCGCAGACTTCTTTGCCGTCATTGCACGACTAACGCTGAGTTGTCAAACTTGCAAAATTGAAATGGCAAAACGATCGTCGCTTCATCAACTTGCGATCGTCGCAATTTCGATGTCGTCGCGGGGAATTCCCATACACAGGCTCAATTTAGTTCAAAATGAATCTAATTTTAAACTCTACATACAACCCTTTCCTGCTTAGGTTTCATACATGTAAACCTCTAATCCTACGACTTCCGATATTTGACTACATACTTTATTTAAACCTGTTATCGCTAACGTTTCTTAAAAGTACACACGCGTTTACGTTGTTATATACCTCTAGTCTTGAACAACGAGAGTACTCTTTGTTTGAAAAACTTGAACACGGTCTTCTATATATGCTGTTCCTGGAAAACTTTGAGATTTTAAAACAAGCTAATTAAAAGTTAATTTTTATCTAGCGCATGTCTGATAAATATAAAAGAGTAGTGTATTATTTCTAATATACAGTTTTATCACATTCTTTTCCTGTCCACACGTACTTTTAATTATTCATTGATCGAACCCTATTCGTTCTGTTTCATAACGATACCATAACGCCTGATTGGGAGGCTAATCCGCTGGGAACATCCAGCGAGCAATATATATGTTCACCGTATTCTTGAATTTCTTCCTTTTAATTTTAGTCAAAATTTAGCTATTTGGTCATCGGATATTTAGCCCTGAACGACGTCTTTTAGGTTCACTATTGCCTAGCAGCCTCGTTTTCTGGCAAATTTACCATCGATCAATCACATTTCAGTCCCATCAAATATACCGTCGAATCGATTTTATTGCTTCAAATATGGTTAAGCACCAGTTACTAGTCTTTATTACTTATGTCTTTAATTAGACCTTGAAGGGTCACGAAGTCTTATCCTAGACGTTATATGCATTCTATTCATTACATGTCTTTTCGAAGTTTTACGGTAGAGTTTTTAAAAGGCTAAAATGTAACAAATTGAAATATATTACTTTAATTTATTTATGGCCTGGCAAGCCTAAAGTAAAGCACGATGCTAAGAATTTTAGGTTGTTTCGTAAAACGTTTCTATTTCGTCTGGCGTGAAATTATTCGTACCACTCTGTCCGTGCAGGAATGTGTAGCTAAAGCTGTTTCCATAGCTGTACCCGCTAGGTGCGCTGTAAGTATAACCAAGGTTGGTTAAGGAATTGCCATTGGATGACGCATAGTTGGCAACGTAAATGTCATGTCCACGTCCGAAAGTAGGTCCATTGGATGAGCAGTCGTATATGGAATAAGAGTAATGGTTGTAATATAATCCTCTCTGGAGAATTTTTACAGGTGCCCATCCTGGTTTGTTAACCAGCGAGAATAGGAATGCTGATGAATCATATCGATACTGGCATCTGGAAACTGTTAGGAAAATAATGAAAAGGATGATTAAAATTTAGACGTTAACATTCGAACTTTTTGGAGATGAACCTAACAGACAACCCTATCGTTGCTGGGTTTTAACTCCCTCAGAAAAAAAAAAAAAAAAAAAAAAAATATATATATATATATATATCTATATCACGTTCTACTTTAACGTATCGAGCACTCTACTATGGAAAAATGGAAACACAGACTTCCTATATATATAAACAAATCCAGGTAATTCACCGTTGGATCCAGAACAGTGCTCTACAATTAAGGAGCGGTTTAACAGTAAATAGGCTACTCAATATGAGCACATATGGATTTTAATACAGGTCTGTTTCGTAGACCAACAAAAAGTTGATCCACTCATCAGTTAAACTCCATACACACTGAAGCATCACAACGGTTAAAACAGCAACATGATCGCGTGACATATTTTTGCGGTTGTCATGACAGAGGCGTTATTCAAAAAGTACTAATTTATAAAAAACCTACGCGCGCTTATGATACAATAAACAAAATTTCAGGAATACTTGAGAATATATTTTCTTCGATGTCTACAATTTGATATGAGTTCGTTTCGTTTGTTCAGAGTGGCCATCTGTGGATTAGATAATATGAAAAACTTCTCAGTGATGCATAACTTACAGCGTTTAGTGGTGTTAGAGTATGCCTTGGCTCTTGCGATGATCTTCCACGAAATTGAATAGCCTTCCTTCTTTTCCTTTAGTTTCCACAAATATTTGCTCAGCTCGGTGTCGTTCCGCCTTTTCTCATGCTTAAAAGACATTTCAGTGGTGGTTGCGCCATCTTGTTTTGAAATCTGTTTCTGTAAGGCCGCAGTACGTCTCAGTAGTTCCCGTTACCCCCCTGGTTGTAACTGTGGCTTGGTATACAATTTCGTTTTGCAAGCATTCCCCTTCTAATGGACATTCTTTTCCGTTTCGGCAATTGCACATTTTTTGGGGTTGATTTTCTTCCGGGTTTTGGGCATTCTTAAGGATGGCTTTGTTATGCCCGTCTATAACCTGTTTCATGTTTGGTGTGCAAGAGTAGCTTAACTTGACAGTGTTCCTATTAAAGATTTTCCTCAATTTGTTGCCGGTTGGAAAACATTTGTCAAGTAGGTTAATGAATGCCCTTCCTATGCTGGTCTTGACATTTCCGTTAAATGGTGGGTTAAACCAAATTATATTTCTACGCCTCTTCTTTTTTTGATTTGGGGGTCTTTGCTACTCTGAAATTTTGTTTATTGTATCATAAGCGCGCGCGTAGGTTTTTTGTATTTGTAAACTAGTATTTTTTGAATAACGCCTCTGTCATGACAACCGCAAAAACATGTCACGCGATCATGTTGCTGTGTTAACCGTTGTGATGCTTCAGTGTGTAAGGAGTTTAACTGATAAGTGGATCAACTTTTTGTTGGTCTACGAAACAGACCTGTATTAAAATCCATATGTGCTGATATTGAGAAAGAAACCAGATTGTCCACTCGAAGGAAAATGCCTCCAATCAAATGTAATTTACCAAGCCACTGTAACTACAGCGACGACAACTGAAACTTACGTCGGACTGGCAACAAACTTTAAGGAACGTTACAGAAACCATCAGTCCTCCTTTCGACGCTCGAACAGAAGAAATGAAACGGAACTATCAAAATATATTTGGACTTTACAAGACTCTAACAAACCTTTCCAGATAAAATGGAAAGTTTTAAAGAAATGTAAAGCCTATAGCAACATTAGCAAAAAATGTAATCTTTGTCTTTATGAAAAGTTTATCATCATTTGTAAAAAAGAGCTTTGTAGCCTAAACAGGCGAAACGAACTAGCGAGTTCATGCCCCCACAGAAACAGATATGTACTTCAGAACTCTAGAGTAACGTAACTAAGACACAATCCATCTGTTACCTAGATACTATCTCTTAACGCATCCCTATATTTACTGCCAGCTTTTAATTTTAACGGTCAATCGTTGAAGTTGCCTGATGAGTGTGGTCCTACAATTTCGGACCATACGAAACAGCACTGTCGCAATAAACGATCAATGATTACTCCTGAAGCCTGAACTCCTGTGATTATTAATATATATATATATATATATATATATATATATTCAGTTAGATGTTCACCGGCGAAGCCAAGACAGTGCTCTACTTGCAGTGAAGGAGCGGAATAGGCTCTGAACACGTGAACATCTCAGCCAACGAACGACAACCAGTCATCAATTCCAAGCACTCCCTGCTATTCAGCAAAGGCGAACCATGGGAAAAGAGCAATTCAGCATCAAATTTTGACGTAACCATGGGAAGCTACGACGGAGCGGAGACTTGTGAACTGGTGGGCTGTTATCTCCTGTCGCAGCTAAAGCAGATCCCTGGCACCGAAATCGGCCTTTACAGAGATGACCGGCTTGCCGTACTCAATCAAACACCAAGGCAGATAGAGAAAGCAAAAAAACAAATATGCCGGATATTTGCGAACAACAACCTGAAAATCACAGTTGATGCAAACAAGAAAGTTGTTAACTTCCTAGATGTAACACTGGATTTAAACACCGGAAAATTCAAACCATACTCCAAGCCATCCACCACCCCGCTTTACGTTCACAGCCAATCGAACCACCCACCCAACATCCTCAGAAACATACCCGTAGCAATTAACCGGCGGCTATCAAGCGTTTCTTCCGACCACGAGGTTTTCAATGAAGCATCGGCTCCGTATCAGGAAGCATTACGAAAGAGTGGCTATGCTTTTAAACTAGAATTCAAGCCACCGGCAAAGCAACCACCATCAGAGAAACGCAAACGACAAAGAAATGTTATATGGTTTAATCCACCATATAACAAAAGCGTCAAAACCAACATCGGACGTGCGTTCATCAGCCTCATTGAAAGATCTTTCCCAGCGGGCCACAAACTGAGGAAAATTTTCAACAGGAACACCATAAAGCTCAGCAACAGCTGCATGCCCAACGTCAAGCAAATAATAGATGGCCACAACAAAGCCATCCTGAAGACAGCAGAAACAGCGCAGCCACAGAAAAACGAAGGGAACACGTGTAGCTGTAGGAAAAAAGAAGACCGCCCGCTAAACGGAGGATGCCTGGTGAGTGAAGTCGTGTACTAAGCCACAGTTACAGCCGGAGACGAAAAAGAGACATACGTCGGTCTCACAGCTACTCAGTTCAAGGCAAGATACAGAAACCACCTGATGTCATTTAGACATGAAAAGAGAAGGAATGAGACTGAGCTGAGCAAGCACCTGTGGCAGCTAAAGGAGGCAAATAAGGAATTCAATATCACGTGGAAAATACTCGCCAAAGCAAAATCTTACACCAACCTCACAAAACGTTGCAATCTATGCACAACAGAGAAGTTCTTTTTAATCTGTAGGCCTCACATGGCAACACTGAACAAGCGCAACGAACTTGTCGCTACATGCAGACATCGCTGCAAGTTCATTCTAAGGTACAATCGAACATGTGAAAGCCAGAGATTGTAGCGCGAGCTTTCGTGTGACTTAAGTTTCGTATAAGAGTTGTAGGCGATTGAGAGCAAGCGCGAGCTTTTCATTTTAAAATTTCTTAAAAATTTAAATTTCAAACGTTATATGTAACCGTTTTTATCACGCGATCACTTTTCTTGATGTAGACCCTGACGCTTCAGTGTTATAATGGAGTTTAACTGAAGAGTGGGTTACCTTTTCGGTGGCCTACGAAACAGGCTTGTATTAAACACCCATGCACTCAGGATTTGAGTAGTTCACCTACTGGTCTATATTTACATCGGCACTAGAAAGTCGAGGACGCGGGTTCAAATCCCGTTCAAGGCAATTTTTAGAGTTTCACTTGTGTTCGTTTATTTATTTCTTTCACTGGTTTCAGTTCATTTGTGTTATGTATAGTATTAAAAAAAGGTGTTAGCACCTTCCAGTGGCCTCTGTGAACTCTAAAAAATTGTTTGGGGAGTCCCGTGAGCCATAAAGCCTTCAATTCGACTGCGCGTTAGCGTGGTTGTCTTGGTGGTGTAGTGGTTAACACATCAGCACTAGAAAGTCGAGGAAGCGGGTTCAAATCCCGTTCAAGGCAATTTTTAGAGTTTCACTTGTGTTCTTTTATTTATTTCTTTCACTGGTTTCAGTTCATTTGTGTTATGTATATATATATATATATATATATGAATGAGGCTGAGTATCTTATGAAGAATTATGGAGATCGAGAAGGGTGTTATCCGTCGAGGACGTAGGCCGAGGCGGATAACACCTTCCGAGATCTCCATAATTCTTCATATGGTACGAAAGCCGAATTCAATAACTGTTTTATTATTCATTGAAAAAAATTCCTTGTTTAAAAACAGCTAAAACATGCTTACCTCCATCGATCCATCGATATTCAGTTCTTCTTCGATAGCGTACGTTTAGGTTTGTCCAGCTCAGCAAATGTTCTCCAAATAGCAGATGTCGCCCTTCGAGTTGTCTTCTTGCTGTTCTTGCCATGTTTTTAGCTATTTTTTCGCCTAGTTCTTACTCTTGAAACGAGTGAAATGTCCGCCATTTTTTCAAGTTCACAACCAAAACAACTCAACCTCGTCCCCAGGTCTTCTCGGTTAACGGTGCCTTAACCTGCGAAAACGCTGCATTTTTGACGTCATTTCCTCGTTAAAGACAAATTTCTTCCAAATTTGGTCATCAGTAACTGGCTATGGTGAATTAAACGTGTGCTTTTAGCCAATCATAATCGGGAAATATTTTGAAT